TTGTTTCTCTCGCGAGATCTGGCAACACTGGTGACGTCATCAGACAGAGGAGGGAAACTAAAACATGGCGGAGAGAGGCTGAAGTTAGCGTGAAGCGTCGGTAAAAACACACAGACCCTCGGCTCTACGCTTCACTAAGTCGGATTTTTCGATCGAGTTTTTTGCGTTATTCGTTTTTTATTCGTCTCAGACTGAAATTTGAGTTCTACGTTGAGTTTCTTTCGTCGGTTTCAGCCTTATTAGTCTGAGTTAGCCGTTAGCATTAGCCGCGTTAGCTGCCTGACCAGCGGCTGCTTTTGTTTTTGTCTCAAAGACGAGACTTGTTGACTCATTTAAAGACACTATTTTCTTCAAGATAGTGTTTTTCCTGAGCGGGAACTGAGTGCTTTAGAGATACACTAGCTCGGGTGAGCTTTGTTTTGGTCCTGTCTGTTTAATACAGTGAGTGAAGGGACAAACTGTGAGTCCTGGGCTTTGTTTTGTGAACATTACATCCAGGAAACATGGATTCAAAGCGGGCACATTCACACAGTGAAGCTGAAAGTAGCCGAGGAGGAGGAGGAGGAGGAGGCAGCAGCGGTGACTCCAGCTGCGGCAGCCCGGCGTCCCCCTCCCGCAGCCCGGCTCCCTCCTCCCGCAGCCCGGCCCCCTCCTCCCGCAGCCCGGCTCCCTCCTCCCGCAGCCCGGCCCCCTCCTCCCGCAGCCCGGCCCCCTCCTCCCGCAGCCCGGCTCCCTCCTCCCGCAGCCCGGCCCCGGCGCTGCTCCCCGGGGGAAACGCGTTCGCCAACGACGGCAGCTTCATGGAGATGTTCAAGAAGAAGATGGAGGAGCAGCAGAGGAAAAAAGAGACATGTGGAGGAGCGAGTGCCACCGAGCAGGGACAGACACCAGTGGAAAAGAAGCCCCCTCCCGTGGCGAGCTTTGTAAGGGGTTTAGCAGTTGTAAGATGAGATAGATACCAGCAGCCCTCCTCTATCTGTCACTTAACTTACTACACTGTACTTGTGTAAATATTGCATTATGAACATGTTATTTTTTTGCAGTATTTAATATTTGTAGAGCAGTCTAGACTAGGGATGCTCCTCACTGATGATGGTTTCTCTGGTGCTGTGGTCAGAGACTAAATGTAGACCTTCTGCTCTGGTGTAGTCTCCTTCATTGGCAGTCCATCTGAAGGGCTCCTATAATGGTTTCAGTCTTCTATCCCCTAACCCAGGTGGGGAAGCGCAGAGGCGGTGTGTTCCTAAAGACCGGCATGGTTGAGAAGAAGCTGAAAAACGACTCAGAAGTAAGTGTGGTGTCGATTACATTATTATATTTTACTAAAACCTTGATGAGCTTGGCTGATGTGACATTTGTATGATAATGTAGAAATAGGGGTTTGTTATGCACACATCATGTAGGTGTAGAGTAAAAGAGAAGGTGAAGACATTGTGGTGTTGCACATCTGGCTACGTGTCGTGTTTAGTCAGTCGGACTAAACGTGTTTCTCTTTGTGATTTTCTCTCCTGCAGGCGGTTCCAGGCAAGAGCGATGCTTGGTCAAAGTACATGGCTGAGGTGAAAAAGTACAAAGCTCATCAGTGTGGTGACGACGATAAAACCCGGCCGCTGGTCAAGTAAGGTTTTCCAAAACGGGGGAAGCGACAAAAGTGTCTGAGGAGGATACCGTTCTGGGAGACGCTCCGGGAGAGCTGGCCGCGATCCGGATCCTTCTCACACTGCCAGTCCACCTTCACGTCGACAAACTGCTTCGATCAACTCTCAGTTTTTCCTTGTTTTTTTTGTATTGTTTTGTGTTGCTGGTCATTTGATCTGGTGTCAAACGGTGTTTTCACATTTTCATTATTGTTGCATATTTTCTAATTTGTCATGTCTGGGATTAGGTCGGTGTTCTTTCAGATAATGATTTGATTTAATGAGCCAGACGAAAGGTTTGAATTAAATCTACACTGCCCTTTCACGTGTGCTGTTGTCCCTCCAGTGTTGTGAGATTCTCCTGAGCCGTTTTCACGCACGCACTCCTGAACATTTCCAGGACAGCATGCGCCTGAAATCATCCTGATTTTGATTATTCACACCTCTCCATCACAGCGTTAAGTTTTCCCGGTCAGACAGGGAACATTTTACAGACATTTTTTCAGGGGTGCATGTGTGAAAACAGCTGAAAACTTTTGACAGTTTCAATGGCTTGAGTTTTTTTTTACAATGCTACATGTGACTGAACGTATTGAAGGTATAAATAAAAAGGTGGAAAAGAACAACCTGGATGCAGAAAAGAGGGACTTCACAGGGATATTTTTCTACGGGGCCGGCAGGTGAAAATGTAGTGCTCTGCTGAATATTTCAGGAAGCTTTCAGGAGCGTTGTGCCCGTGTGAACACACCTCTAGGGAGTCAAGAGGAAAACATCCATTTGAATACTGAAAGCTGCTCTGTCCCCTTCCTTTCATGTGATGCTCCTTTAAAGAGGATATATCATCCCCCTCAAACAGTCCCCCTGTGGTCTAAATGAAACATCTGTGCTGAGCTTTGGTCAAAATATAACATGAATCAAGCACCAGAGGAGGTTTGTGACCCTGTATAAACCAGCTCTCTCAGAACGCTCCGTTTTGGTGTGTGTCTCTTTAAATGTAATTTTTAATATTATGTCCCCTTTAAAGTGTTTTCAAAGTTGAATTAAAAAAAAAAACTTCATGAGGGAAAAGATTTTAATTAAAAGCAGTTTTGAGTTCTATACAGTCACAAAATCACCCAAGAGTTCAAGTAGAATGAAAAGAGTATAACTCTCATTGAGGGAAAAAAAGAAGCTCAAATTCAATTTGCAGTTTATACAGGTGATAATTACATCGTGATAAAAACAGCACCGAATAGACACACGGACCATGCATCAGAGAGGGAGACACACAAAGGCACGCGTCCGATCCCACTAACCCAAACACACTCATTCACCCTCGTGCTCACACGCACGCACACACACACCTAAAAACCCCATTCATCCCTCCTCCCTGTCCACAGTGATATAGGTCGTTCTTGTAAACATCGACAAACTGTGTTCGTCATTTCAAATTTATCAAATTGTTTTTAAAAAGTTAGATTTCGCCGTAGTCATCATGAAAAGTTGAGCGAGTATTGTCTCGGAGCCCGGTGAGCCCTAAAAGTCAAAAGTCTGTCCTGATTTGTCCGCACGATTAAACGTCATTGCGGCGTGGAGGTCCAGCTTTTATCATAGCGTCTTCCTCTTGGCGGCGTCTCCTCCTTGGCTTTGAGTGACATCTAAACACAAATAAAACACTTCTTACATTGTAGTAAAAAAAAAAAGGATTTAAAGACAAAAAGAGGACACTAAAGACGAGAGCATGCGGCCACCAACACACGAGCAGAGAACGAACAGGACCAGACAGAGAACCCGACACAGACAGAAAACACCAGACGAGAGAGGGAGGCGGGGGGGGGGGGGTCGATGGAGCAGGCTGTTGAAGTTGGAGGGAGTGTCAGATTTTACCTGAGAAAGCGAGCTGCAAGTGAGGAGGCAGAGCAACCTGAGACCCTGACTGGAGACTCTTATACAGATCTGAGGAGACAGGACAAGGGGAACAAGGAGGGAGAGGAGGGGACAGGTGACAACAGAACACAGGGAGGAAAGAAGGGCGGGGGGAGCGAGGTGCATAGAGATGATGGACAGGTAACGAGAGCCAAACAGAAGAGAGGGGGGAGGGACACGGGGTTGGCATCGGGAGAAATGAAGCAAACAAAATGGAATAATGTCAAACAGGAGAAAAATCACAAGCTTACATTTGACGCACAGCATGATGATAAAAACAAATGGTGCTCTAACAAACAACACAAGACGAATAACCCGATACAGAAACAGCGAGACGAGACACGGCAGGGCCACTCACACTCGACCTCCGCCTGATGGGCCAATGAGCAATTCATCGTTTTTTAAAAATGTGTTTTGATTCATCATCTGAATTACCGACAAGCTTTTCATCACAGGTAGAGTTAGCCTGCATTCACTCATTTATATATTTTTTTTCTTGTTTCTGATCAGATTGTTTACACCTCTGTTTTCTGATTGCACAAAAACACACCTTTACCTCTGCCTTCATTTTGTTGAAAAACACACACACCTCTGCTCTCTTACTGTATGAAACAACACACCAGCTCGCTTATTGCAAACAAACATGCACCTCATTTCTGCTCTGACTGCACTAAGACACTTCCTGCTCTCTCTTTTTGCAATGTGCACGTCTGCTCTTACACACACACACACACACACACACCTTTGCACTAAAACACAGACAGGTAAACACGTCTGCTCTCGTACTGCACACAAACACACAGCTGCTCGCCCCGCCTCTTTCTGCTTCTGATTGGTTTGTTTTATTAGCACGCTGTCCCTAAAGAATAAGTCGTATTTTAATCTGTCATTAGAGCAGCAGGTGAGCTGTAAGAGGGTAAAGATTCCATAATGACATGAGACCTGAAAACCTTTCGGTGTGTTTGTGAAGCTGCTGTGGACGGTTGTTTTTTTAAACGATGAACGAGGTCAGGGGAGCACAAAAGAATCTGTTTTTTGTAATTCATTAATAGCAACACACCAGCTATTAGTTCAGCTGTGATACTATTTTAAATCTAAAGAGAACGTGCGGTGCATTAAAGTTAGGGTATCTGTTGTTTGCGCCCCGTGTGCATCACTCACTCTGGGTCAGCGTAGAGAACGATGCATTGCTATTGGCTGCAGCGCTGCTGGCTGCCGTGCTGGAGCCCGCCGTAGCCAGCGACGGCAGGTTTAGCAACGAGGGGAACTGGAAGGGCAGGGACACGGGGACCAGGCCCCCCAGCATCCCGAAACCCAGAGGAAGAGAGGAGGGCGAGCCCAGGAGGCCGCCGGTACCTGCTGTGGAGACCTGGGAAGAAAAAAAAAACGACGTCAGACTGAAGTGCCTGAAAGTGTGCGACTAAATGAAGCCCACCGTGTGGCGGTGCAGGAAACACTAACCTGTGCTAACTGAGAAGAGACGGATGAGTTTGGGAGAGACACGACCGGCTTGGCCCCCTGAGGTGTCCCACCCCCGGGCCTCTGTCGCTGCCCCGAGCTGGGGGAGGCCACAGTCGGGGAGGCACTGGATCCTGAATGCTTGCTTATGGAGATGGTGTTTATAAGGCTGGTGTTGGTGCTGTTGTTGTTGGCGGTGGTCTTCTGGCCGCCCGGGGGGGTGTAGCTGCCTTGCCCGAGCTTGGTTACTCCTGAGAACTGCGGGCGGAACCCTGCTGGGCCCTTGGAGGAGTACTGGTGCATGGAGGGGGACACCTGAGACCGGGGGGTTAGAGAGATGGAGGGGGAGCCTGAGGAGGGGATGGAGGTGACCACGGGGTTGGGGGCGCGTGGGGTGAGTTTGACGATCGGCGGGATGCTGCTGTGGGAGGATTTAGTGAGGGTGGCGTGCATGGGGGTGATGAAGTTGGACTGAGGCTGGGGCTGGATTACGGGGTGGGACGGTTTAGGGGGCAGGTTCTGGGTCGGGCGGGGCGCCTGGTAGGTTTTGATATGTGTGTTGGATGAGAGTGTGTGGAGGCGGGACTGAGGCGACGTGATGATCAGAGTGTCACCACCGATGGCTTTATTATTATTGCTGCCTTTGAGGAGGCTGGACGGGGGCGTGGAGACCCCCATCTTTGAACCTGGCGCCACCAACGGAGACGCGGTGGGGGGCGGGCGCGGCTTAGGAGGCGACGCCGAGGCAGTCATGTTCCCTTTACCCACGGCCACGACTAAAGGTCTCTGAGCGTTCAGCACGGAGAGTCTGTGCACCTGAACGCCGCCCTTCACCACCCCCATTGCGTCCACCCTGACGGAGGGCGAGGAGGTGAGGGAGGGGGGCGGGACTGAGGGGCGGGCGAAGAGGTAGAGATGTAGAGAGGTGCGTTGGAGCTGGGAGTGCCGACAGAGTTCTTCTTCTGATGCTGGAGGAGCGGCGAGGAGTGGAGGGAGGAGGGGGCGGCGGGGGAAGCTTTGGGTAGTTCGGGGGAGGGGGGGCTGTCCCCGTGGGCCAATCCCTTGGCTGCGTTTCCGAGGATGGCCAGAGCCTGAGAGATGGAGTCCAGCGAGGGCGCCGTCAGATCCTCGTCGAGGGAGTCGAGACATATGGGCTCAGCCGGGGACTGAGGCGGTCGCTTGGCAACCTGAGCTGCGGGGGAGGGGGTGACACCTGCTGAAGGTGTGGACCGATGAACCCACACAGCCTCCTGGGAAAAAAAAACCCCCACAAATCTGACATTAACACAAAATCACAAGAGAAATGAACTTTTTAAAGCGATTTCTTCGAAGTCAGGACTCACCTTCAGCTTGGGGGTCTTGGGATTAGGAACCATTCTTTTCTTTACTCTGCAGGTAGAAAAAGGTGAAATATGTGAGGGGGGGGGGCAAACAAGATGAGTCAGATTAAAATAAACAACCAGCTGGATTTAAAAATCATTCCGACTCACGTGTATCCTGTCAGGTGACCATGAGCCATGATGCTCTCTTTGAACAACATCCTGCAAACAGAAAGAAGGAAACATGTCTGAAACATCAGAACAAGAAAAATATTCATGTTGGAGGGAGTTGAAAGCTGCAGTCTGAGCAGCAGAGACTTAACAACACTCACCTGGCCTGCATCCAGCCTTTAGGCCACAGAGGTTTCACTTCAGTCTCCATGAAGGCTTTGAGGTAGTCCTCTAGAGAGAGCGAGTTCTTGCCCTCCAGCTCGTAGCAGCCCAGCTTCACCCGCACCAAGTTACACAACAACGCCCTGAAAACACAACAAATACACAAAACACTCAAATCACTGCACCTGAGTGCACCATGTTTGTCGCTTGCTGACAACATCTCCACGATATTTGCATTTGATATGAAGCTCTAGGGTAAGTTCAGTCAGGAAGACTTTATAACTGCCTTCACGATCGGGTCTTTCTCATTCATCTTTTTACACGCTTACTCTCGTTTCCGCTGTCATTGGTTAATCAGCTGTCTCGTCAGCGGTACTCATTTAACCAATGGCAGGGTGTTCCGCCCTTATTTTCAACCTTTCATCGCTCCCCCTTTAAATGTGATTCTTTCTCTCCCTTAGTTCCTTCATGCTGATGTTTCGTGCGCCCCTCCACCTCCCCAACACCACCGCCATCTCACAGAATCATCATCCATCATTTCTCATCAAGTCCCCAGTTTCACCACCACCAGTGTCTGGACTCCATTGGGGGGGGGGGGGGGGGATCTATTCTGCCGTCGCTCAGAATTGTCATTCTACACATCGCCACCCCATAGAGTCCAAGCGCCAAAAACATTTCTGTCAAGAAACATTTCCATATTTCACTGTAATAAATAATTGTCTTTATTCAATGGTCTCTCCTGATTGAACTGTAGCTGCATGAGAAGAGAATCTCCCGTTTTGAAGTGAAACTGACCTGAGTTTGTCGTCCCAGACAAACTTCTTCCGCGGGCCCATCACCCGTTTCCCTGGTTTCTCCTCATCGTCGTCCTCCGACCCGTTTTTCTCTCCCTCCCCAGACTGCTGCCTGTAAACACACACACGTTAAAAATCCTGTATGAAAGCGACTCCTGGTAATCTGTGCAGCAAATTCAAAGTCCAGGCTGTGATCACAAGTGTCCTCACTTTGCCACCTTGGCGATACAGTCCATGTTGAATCGAGCGATCTGCTCGGGCATCACGCTGCACACGGCCAGTTTGAGCTTCAGCAGGGGCGCTCGCAGGCGGTCGTCCTGATGGATGAGGAAAAAGTCTCAGTCAGATATTGCACACGCACACACAAACACGGTAAATATAGAACTGGATAAGAGCCAGAACACAGCACTAACAAACACATGGCTGAGTACAGCTGACCTGCTCGCTAAAGGAGCCGTGCAGCTGAGCAGCATGAACATCTGAACATCACGTGTTCACTGATGAAAAAGATGCTGTGGTCATTTGTTTCTGGGTCCCTGTGGCGTCTAGCGATGTGATTCCTTTCAAGACTTTCAACAAGCCAAAGAAAGAGTTTCAGTTTATGTGTAACGCTAAGTAACAGAGCAGCTTCACTCGGGCTTTCTGCAGCCGTCAGAACCTAAAACAAACTTGCAGTTAAAGGTTTTAAAGTTTGCCAAAAATATTCAGAATGCAGATTTGAAAAAAAGAAAAAGTCAAACGATGTCAGGTCTGTCCTGAAGAGGAGAACAAATCCTCTTTAGAAACTCTTTTTGTTGTGAATGGAGGTCGGATTGATCATTTCTGATGCGTTCAAGGAAGTCACGCTGATGGACTTTTCTGACACAGTAAAACTGAATGTTTGCTCGAGCTGAATCGGATATGACTGATTTTCCTGCATGATTTTAAATACTACAATCCAGACGCTGGAGTACAGACTCTTAGTCAAAATGAAGAATCAGTGAGCTGTGATTATCTATCATTAACGTAGATACAGTGTCTGAAAAATCTTTTTTTTTTGTATTTCTGGTGTATGGTCATTCAGATGAGTTGTGGATTACTTTAAGCTCTGAAATCTGTAAGTATATGCAGATGTCTGTTAATAAAGATGAATAAGGAGCTTCATCAGCGTCAAATAATCGCCCATTTGTTCTGGGATTGATTTACTGCCAACCTCTTGCGCTTCCTTTGCTCTCCACACACAGACGGTTTCCTGCATACGACAACAGCGTGCAAAAATGTGATCGGAAAACCCCCCACCGGGCGTCCAAACAAACGGAAACCTGAAAGCTTCTGACGTGCTAGTATTGTCTCCTCGCCTCCAGATTCTGTTTTCATCTGCAACGATCTGTTTCTAGAGATTATTCTGAAGCCGCCTCGGGCCTCACAATGAAATCGCTCCCACACACCTGAATGTTCAGACTGAGCTTCTTCAGGCGTTTGAGCAGAGCTTCTTTGTTGCAGGGCACGAAGGCCTCCAGGTGAGAGTAGACGGCTGAACGCACCTCCGCAGGCTGCTCCTGGACCTGCAGCTCGATACTGACGCACACACACAGAAACACACACATTTACATAGATTTACATTTGCTTTTCCTGTAACAGTCTGGAGAATGTAAATGTGAGCGGCTCTTACTCCAGGAGGATGTTGTTCATGTCCAAAGTGAAGAACTTCTTCCTGCCCTCTTCATCGAACAGACGAGACGCCTTCACAGAGAGAAAAGACGGGTTGATTGTTTTTCAGAATCAGAATTATTGTCCAGGTTTGTTTACACACACACACAAGGAATTTAACTGAAGTGAACTGTGCTCTCTTATGTACAGGTACAACATTAAATATCAACAATAAACAGAATAAGAAAAGACTAATATTTACATGACTAAACATGAAACAGTGCAGTGGTGAATAGTGCAAAAAGATGATAAGTTTTGTTTTTGTAAACAACATTTCTGAGAGGATGTGTGTACACACTCGACCTCTCTGCAAAATAATGTGAGGATTGTTTTTCTGCAGCAGCCACATCAGGAAAGAAAAACAACCTGATTGATTCACGATTTATCAAAACAAAATTTAGTCTGAAATGATTCATCGTTAGAAAACAAGAAGTTTCCAGATTCTGATTTTTTCATTCAGTTTTTTTTCATTGTGTTTTTTTAGACTGAAGTAAATTTTATGATTCAAAAGAGCGTCTCATCCTCGCACTGAAAAACATCAGTTTTCAAAAATGCTCACCTACGTGTGGACGAGGCATAAGGCAGCGTGCAGGAGTTTGTCTGCAGTTTTTTTGAATTTAGAACAAACGACCCGATAGCGGGAGCTCAGGACTTTTTTTTTTTTTTTTTTTTGAGTTTTTCATCAAAGTTTAAATTCTGGTTTCATGACGACTCAAAGAGAAAGTTTTGCTCTGATGTAAAGAAACAGATGAGTTGGAGTTTGGATGAACTTACCGCTCTGAGGTCTTCGATGCGTTTAAGGAGCGGGCCCGGGAGTCCGCTGGGCAGCGGAGGCGGCGCCATCGGTTCCCCTGCATCACTCTGCTCATACCCGCTTTGTGCGCCATCCCGAAGGCGCCGTTCTCTCCCTGCACCGGACTCGACGGCTGATGAGGCGAGTCCAGCATGGCGAAGTCCAGGTCGCCCATCATGTCCTGCAGAATGTCGTTGTTGGCCGAGCCCAGCAGTGACATCACGGCGGGGTCGGGGGTCAGGTCGGTGACGTGGCAGTCGTTGCCGCCGGCGGCCTTGGCGTGGGCGTTGAGGAGAGCACTGTTGGCGTTTGGCACTTTGGCGTTGGGTCGCTGCAGACCGGCTGCACCGACGTTCTTCTTTCTGATCTCCTCCTTCTCTCGGGTGAAGCGGCGCAGCATGTTGGCGAGGTGCAGAGAGTCCTTCATCAGCTTCTTCCTCTTCTTCTTCTCTGGACGGTGAACACTCAGCGCTGAAACTCTGCAGGAACAAACAACAAGGAACAACACTTTTAAAAACCTCATCAGCAGAATGATTTTTCACCTCGACCTCTTCCTGACGACCTCGTAGTAAAACGTCTGAATGAAGTCGAGGTGAGCCGATGTGTGCAGGGTCGTTTCTGCTCGCCATCATGTTCCTCTCCGCTCGTCTGCTGATACTATGAATACGTCTAATCACCTGCAGCATCGATATCGACACATCATCGCGTCAGTCTCTGTCACTTCATCCGCCATTTCCACCTCGTCCTTTTTAATGAACTACAGGGCGCCACAGGAATGAGTTCTAAAACCAGGAAATGAGTCAGCATTTTGGCGCCATGGGGTCGTTTGCCTCAAACTCCATGTTGTGGTTTTTTTAACGGGTTGGAGGTTAGATGCCTGAAGAGGTCCGTGGTTAACACAAGCTTAAGAGATGTTAAAGTTCTTACTCGTCCTTAAAATGGCGCTTGCTAACATGTGGCTGAATGAAACTACAGTGCGGTTGTCGGGGACATTAAGCGTCATCACGTCTTTATCGTCATGTTGCTGCACAAACAAAAACCTGATCCGAACACTCACCCGGTCTTTGGTAGTTTGTTCTTTCTGGGTTTCTTCTCCTCCAGAATTCCACCATCTTGCTTTTTCCTCCGCTTCTTTATCACCCGCTCCTCGCCGTCTTTCATCTTCTGCAGAGCGAGGTGATAAAAGATCACAACAATAATCAACACGTTTATTTTTCTTAACTTCACTTTGTGTCGGTCAGAGTGCGGAGGAGAGCGAGCCGCCTACCTTGAAGTGGTTATCTGCCGTGCCCGCGTTCTCTCCCTCCGAGTCCGACGCCGCTCTGAACTGCAGAGTCCCCGTGTTGATGTAGAAGCCGCCATGTTTGGTGGTAAGAGACGCCGGCACCAGCTCGTCATACTGAGGACAACAGAGGAGCATGATGTCATGTTTCTGCTCAACACTGCAAACTGTGACAACCGACACATTTCATCTAAACTGAACAAACTTCTACTAGAACTAGAAATCTGTGTGTAAAAAGTGAGAGACGTGTCGGCGGTTTGGGGAAACTCACGGCCTCTGAATTATCGATGAACGGGTCGGTCTCATCGTAGCCGTAACCGATGTCGATGAGATCCTGCATCCTGTCCTTTTTCTTCTTCTTTGGACAACCGCCCTGCACACGGAGCGGAGAAACAGTTGCAAAAAAGAAATCAAGTTCGTCCTTCTGCACGCTCACATGGCACACATTTTCAGCTGTAACAATATTTCGACATCCAAACAAAAGAGCTGGCGTTCTTCCCTCACATCATCACAGAGCGTTATCAGTCACAACATCACAAAAACAGATTCCTGATCTCGTATCCACAGCAGCAGGAAGAAAGCCGACGTGTTTCAGACTGAAACTGGTGTTCAGACACGTCACGTTCAGACGTTCTTACTCACATATTTGTTCTCAAACTTGCGGGCCATCTCCTCGACCTCCCGTCTCTCCCGGTCGTCGTCAGCAAACGGGTCGTTGGGGTCCAGAGGGGGAGCGAGTCCTTTAGGGGCGGCTGAGATCGGGGTCTTTACCTGAGAGGGAAACACGGACACAAAGACACCAGAGAGGAGGTTATCATCATCGTTTAGTTCTTTATAACTGTTCATGTATCTCCTCTGACTCATCGGTGACCCGTACTCTTTAAGGATCTCTTATCACTCGATCATGTGCAGCTTTCACACAAACCTAAAGCAAACCGTCAGCTACTCTCGGATCAACTCATGTCAATTTAGATAAGAACAATGTTGGATTTATTAGAGTCATGTTACAAACTCAGTTGTTTAGTAAAACATGAAAAACATCAAACACACAGAAACTGTGAGTCAAAGCCAACATGTATTATTTATTTGTCGTAATGTTGCACAACTATGCCGCACATTTAGATATGCATATCATGCAGGCTTACCTCTGGGCCACTTCTGAAAGCTATCGAATGTTTTAAAAAACAGTTTTCTCCTTCAAACAAAGAAACATTTAAAGAACCTCTTCTCAGCTGCTTAAGAATTGTAATTGCTTTATGGTCAACAGGGTTCCCCGTGCACAGACTAAACACGCTCCCAGGATCAAATCATGAAAAAACAGACTGTTTCTCAATTGTCATTGGTTGTTTATAAATACACCTGACCAATCATTGAAGAGGTTAGGAACTTAACTCGATTTGACTTCATCGTTCAGGACGGGTGTTTTTATTCTGCTGCTTTATTATCATCGCTGTAAGCCTGCAGACGTCCACATTACTGAATCCTAAAGATAACTTTCTCCTTGGGCCGGTCCCGACTTATCAGTGTGAACATGCATATTTTAAATGTTAGTAAGACCTCACAAAGTGCCACAGATATCTGTCCTAGAGTCCTCACAGAATGAGGAAGAGTAAGGGTCTTTTATCTGCTCTTTTGTAAAGTGGGTATGCTTGTAAATTTCCCCCCAAAAGGTTTTTTGAAGTGGCTCACACAGCAGAGGATAAACGACCTCACGTATTTACAGTGACATGTAAGACTACTGTTACATATTCAGTTTGTGTTTACCCAATTAGAGGAATTATCAATCAGTGGAGTGACTGAGGGGGATTTAAAAGTGAATACACTCCTCATGAAGACTGAAAAACAAGTGGGGCGGCAGTAAGTCTGTCTGTAGGGACTTGGGTTGGGAATCGGAGGGTCAAGGGTCAAGTCCCGACACGGACCAAGTCTGGAAATTTACCTGAGCACTGCCAAGGTGCCCTTGAGCAAGGCACCTAAACCCCCCCACCCACCCACCCACTCTGAGACCTCTCCATTAGTCCACAGGATCCTGTTTGTGTAAAACTGACTTTAGTATCGATAAATTATAATTATAATTATAAGTGAGTAAACTTCCTGCACCAGCTAAGAGTAACCGAATAAACACGACTTTTATTTTGAAAATCTAAAACCTGAAACTCTTTTTGAAGTATTATTAAGTTTGACATCAGTTTCAGTCTTTTGAGGTGAAGACCCCCTGCCGGGTTTAGACCCCCTGCCGGGTTTAGACCCCGTCCTGCTCACACCATGGTGTCTGTGTGTCTCTGACCTGAGTGGGGGGGTTGGGGGGGTTTGGGTGGACCAGCTCGCCGTAGTTGAACTCGGAGGACCCCCTGTCGCTGGGCTCGGACAGCGGCAGGTTGAGGCGGACGGTGGGTTTCCTCTCCTCGCTTCCTCCGTCCTCGCCTCCTTTCCTGTTTCCAAACGGACTCGAGCAGCCCCCTCCTCCTCCTGCTGCTGCTGCTGGTCCTGATCCCGGTCCCGACTCGACCCCCGCCGCTCCTCCACCTCCACCTCTCCCCACACTGATGTCCACGGCCTCGTCTTCGCGGCGCCGCTTCTTGTTGTTCTCCTGCGGGGAGCTGCTGAAGGATGAGAGGGTGACGAACGGCACCTTCCGCGGCTCCGCCATCTGTGGCCCCTCTCCGTCCGACGACCGGGTTCTCTACACGGGACGGGACGGGGGGGGAGGAGGGGGGGGGGTTAGAAACCTGGAGGTGGTCGACAAGTACAGCTAGCCGCTAGCTTAGCTTCCTCAATGCTGCAGGCAACACAATGACTTTTATCTCCTTTCCGCCCGTTTTAATCCATAAAGTAGAGTTTCCAGGAGACACCCCGCCGCCTACCGGGGACTTACACTTTGAGAATCGGCAGTTTTAAGCGCTTCCATGAAATGAGTAGTTAGCTACCGCAGGCAGGATTCTGTAGTAGCCATCTTGATCTTTATTATCATTATTCAGTGGCAGCAGGGCGTGCGCGTGAAAAGAAAGCGGAAGCCAGGGAGGAAAGGGAAGCAGCGGTCGTCCAATGGGAGAGCGGGAACAGCGGAGAGACACGCCCACCAGACACATTAGCGCGAACGTGCAGGGGATGATTGTTCTGCGGGCGCGGGAGACGAGCGGGTCCTTGAACGCCTCTCAGAGCTTTTTATTTTATTATATTTACAGAGATTATAGTTTGTTTTTCCGCTTTTTCACCAAACTTTTCACTTTTTATTTAAAGGAATTAATCCGGACAGAAAATACAGTCAATTTACCTTCGTTACCACTAAAATTAAAAACTTTTTAGGCTTTATTTTTTACGGGTTTTTTCTTACATTATAGTGTTAATACAAATGTACAAACTGTAAGGCAAAAATTCACATTCAACTAATTCATTGAAACAGAATAAACAGACATTACCTAGGAAAATAAAATAATGATTTTGTTAGCCTCTAGTTGGACACTTTAATGATTACTTCAATTACTTAAATAACACAATTACTTAAATAACACCTTTCTAAATATACCTTTAATGTTTGCACTGCCTGTTATTTGATCTGCTTTTTAAACATTGCTGTACATATATAAACAACACAACTTCAGAAGGTCAACACTTTCTTTTATTTTTTATATTCAGGTCTAATTACAGATTTTTTCCTCAACTGTTTTTAGGTTCTTGTTTAAATCTCACATATATTTTTATCCCTGCACGTTTTATGAACATTTCTTGTATAAATCTATTTTTAATTGCACAGTTTAAATTTGATTAATCTAGAGGTATTCTTTAAATCTTTTTTCAGGTTAATATATATGTATGTATATGTGTATAATATATACATTTGTAACAAATGTTTCATGTCATGTCTTTGTAACCTGCTACTGGATGCTTTGAATTTCCTTCGGGATCAATAAACTATCTGTCTCTCTCTCTCTCTCCCTCTCTCTCTCTCTCTCTCTCTCTCTCTCTCTTCTCTCTCTCTCTCTCTCTCTCTCTCTCTCTCTCTCTCTCTCTCTCTATCATCTATCTGTCTAATAGCACAAATAACAGAATACAGTCAGTGGCAATTTTTGATTCTGACCGCAGGGTTCATCATCATTATGTTATAAATACTTCAACAACAAAAAAGGGAAATGGCAAAAAAATGATGGGCAAAGTTCAAATTGGAATTAGTTAATAAATATAAAGAATAGTAATAAAGGACATAATAATGCAATACTAGCGGAAGCTGCGACGTTAAACAGCATAAATATAATATTTTGGGGGCTTGTCTCTTTTTTCTCTCTAAAAAAGCAAAGGAAGTTGAATTTTGAATTTGGACTGCAATCCCAATTTAAAACACTAGGTGTCAGAGTTGCATATTGCTCCTTGACATTTGGAAATGTAGTCAGCTCCTGCACAAAGCTTCACGTTTAAGAGAAATACTTCTGTTTAAAATGTCCTAGAGGAATATTTATGTTTCAAAAACATGAGGCAAATGTATTTTATGTTTTTCAGCACATTCTGGGCAAAATGGGTAATGTGTAATATATGATGTTAGTTTTTATTAGTATTTCCTGGCTGTTTTATGGATTATGTGTTTATACAGTCTCAGTTTATTGATTCAACTGTAGAGTCAGCTAAATGTTTGCAGCACTGGAGTCCAAGACTAAGTTAATTTTTAATATGTATATGAACATATCTGTTTATGTTGTTTCTCTATGAACAGCCTGGTGACTCTAAATGTTCTGTAATCCATACAGCAAATAAGTTTCTTTGGGAGCTGTTGTACTGCAAGTCTTTGTGCATCACAGCTGCACTTATATTCAGCCCATCAGGTTAATGTTTAACTCACATTTGTAATGGACAATAATCCAGCTAAACTTCTTTACACTTCATACAGCTTTTTAACAATGCATTTATCCTCATGCAATATAGTTCTCAGCTTAATGTAGTTTCCATGTCCCCTAAACTTAACCCAACACATTTCCTTCTGCTCTTTATAATTATTGAGGGGCCTTAAATCCACATTTGTGCTTGATTTAAAACATAAGTCAAGAGAAGCCTGATTGTCATTCAAAGAATGACAAACTTCATCTTATTTTCTTCAGCTGGATTAGATGTGAAGATGGAGAAATATTTTAGCATGCAGCGAACCTAAACAACAAGATCAACTGAAACAGAACACTCGAGTCCAAGTGTAAAAAACACTTTTATTTATGTGGCCATAGTTCTTGATTTATGACCAGTCGGCTGTGGCACCACCCCAGTCAGAAGCCTGGGCGGTGGGAGCAGTGGACCAGTCCTCTGTGGCAGGCTGAGTGCTCCAGTCCTCTGCAAGAGAGAAAACAAAAGCAAACCTGTTAACACAAGAATATTTATGTTTGGACAGTTTGAGATCACTTAAAGTTGAGAGAAAATATCTCACCTGTCTTAACTGCTGGAGCTGCTGCAGCTAAAAAGACAAAAACATCACATGTTAATGCTCAACCAGTCATAGTAGTTTGAAAGTTGAAGTTCTCTATTCATAAAAGAGGGCTCTTACCTGGTGCAGGGAACTGCTGGATGGGCACAGATGGAACAGCCACACCCTCAGACCAGTCAGCCACCTCAGGCTGAGCAAACTCAGCAGCAGGAGCGCTCCATTCACCCTGGAACTCCTCCTTTCCGACAGCCTTCTCAGCCGCGGCCTGCTCCTCCTTCTCAATCTACATTTAAACAAAAAAAGAAAGATCAGGTGAGCAATTAAAGCTGTGCAACCATGACACATCATTTAAACCACTGTTTCCAAGTCATGGGTGCTCATCAAGTCTTACCTCCTCAGGGTCTCTGTAGAAGTACAGATCAGGCATGACCTCCCATGGGTGCTCCCTGGAGATGGTTCCTCTCATCCTGAGGACCTCTCTGGCCAGCATCCACCACATCAGACCCACAGAGTGATGACCCTACAAGCCAGTCACAAAGAAACACATTGAGTTATACACTATAAACAAGAGTAGAAAATTTTAAACATTTTTGCTTTGTGTGGCAAGACCTCTACCCCCACTGCCTCTGAGTTCAGAGAGTGGAACTAAAGAGGTCAGGCTCGTTCATTTAGCACACATCCTACACCCAACACTGCACAGACGGGATAGCGCCGGGCTCTAACGGTGTGCAACCTGTTCCACATTTTGAATCAACATGTGACTCTCCTCTTCAGTTGGTCTCACCTTGTTGTTACAGGGGATGGCAATGTCCACGTATCTCAGAGGAGAGTCTGTGTTGCACAGGGCGATGGTGGGGATGTTGACGTAGGAAGCCTCAGTCAGTGGCTGATGGTCAGCGCGAGGATCTGTCACGATCAGGAGGCGGGGCTCCCTGAAGGCTGCCTGGATCTGATTGGTGAAGGTACCAGGGGTGAAGCGACCGTGGAAGGTGGTGGCACCAGTGGCAGAGGCGAACTTCAGCACAGCTCTCTAAAGTGGCCGGGGGAAAAACACGTTATGCTAAAGGAATCGGTTAATCTTTAAAGATTGTTTTCTTTTACAAAAGTTGAACTGTGGCGCAGGTCACTATCAAACTCCAGTCATGGGACAGCCGTCCTACTGATGTTAGCGAAAACCCGGCCGAGTCACTCTCGCACACTTCCGACACCGAAACACCGACATCAGTGCCCGGCTTTAATGGTGTGCTAATCATGGTAAGAATGTCTACATTTGTGATGCAGCAAACACCAGAAATTCAGTTTTCTAGTTACCTGTCCGGTGTTCCTGGAGGAGATGACGCACACATCAGCTGGGTTCTCAATGGCAACAATGGCCCTGGCAGCCAACAGCAGCTTCTCCCAGGTCTTCTTCAGGTTAACTATGTACACACCTGATGATTGAGGAACAAAGCAGAGCATTAACTCAATTTATTCTAATTTTTTAATCTTTAAACTCTTAAGTTAAGCAAGCCTCTGCACCGCTCACCGTCGCTTTTTCTCTTGTAGACGTACTGCTCCATCTGGAAGTCCAAGTTGGTACCTCCCAGATGGGTCCCTGCGGCGAGGAACTTCAGCACATCCTCCTCCTTCATTTGAAGGACATCCAGACCTCCGGACATCGTGACCGCTTTCCCTAAGTTACGAGTTAGTGGGAGAGCTGGGGAGGAGGAAAAACAGAAATGGGTTAGAAACTCGTACCTAGTTTGTCCTAGATAACTGAGATAATGAAAACACAAGACAGGCAACTCGTTTATTGTGCCGAAAGGTCAGAATGAATTCAGTTTGTTGCTAATGGGCTGAACAGGTGTACTACTGAATCGTGCTACCATGCGGCTCTGCAGCACAGGGGGGGGGTTACTCGTCTGTCAATGTATGCTTCCTCTAAAACAGGATGGGCAACTTTAGTGACAGCAAGGGGCCACATTCATTTAATTCTCACTGCCAGAGGGCCAAATTGTAATATACAAAAACAATTACAGTCAATTATGTCTCAAATTTAACTCAACATACACCAGTGATCAAATATTATTATGGACATATTTCAGGTTTTCATGATTTCATGGTAGATTTAGTCATGTTTTCAATTAATTGATATGCAAGGATTGACCTGAGGGCCACGTTGAGGGTTGCTGGGGGCCGCATGTGGCCCCCGGGCCGCCAGTTGCCACGCCTCTAAAATGTGCTACATACAGAGTAACAAAGCATGTTTTCAGTACTCAGAACAAAAACAGTTCATGATAATGTTTAAAAATTGCTCAGTACTGAAGCAATATTTAATATTACATTTGTCCATCAAACACTTCACCTGATATCTGAAATAATCAGAGGACCACACCTTCCCCCCAAAACTATTCAGTTATTTACTTCTGTAAACATTATCTTATAGGAGACAGCGAGAGCCTCTGTCACCGTTTGGAGTTCTGGAATCATTTGACAAGGAAGCCAATCTCAACAGTACACCGGTGTGCTAGCTAAACTAAGCGGCATTAGCATAAGTGATCAGGGCCTGTCAGAGAAATAAGCCACACTTAACAAGTTAAAGAGTGGTAACTAATATATCCATATCTTAAATATAATTTCTGATTGATTTTAAAGAGTTAAAACTGCGGTATCTTTAAAACCTGGTTAGTATTTGCAGCCAGGCACGAGCGGAACACCTCGTGTACGTGGCTAACAAGTTAGCTCTGACTGTTAGCATGATCCATTTTAGTAAATTTAAGCCTAAAAAAGACCACACAGCCCGTGTTTTCTTTGCCCTGTGGGATGTTATACGGACGCTTTATCATTATTGAGTCTTTCTGTCGTCTTTTAAAAGGTTATTAACTAAAAATAACGATAAAGAAACTCACCACGAAACAACGCCGTATGGAAATCTGACCACACGGTGCAAAAAGAGGGAGCGCGGAGGAAATGACGTCCTATAAGTAGTACATTTCCAAGCGTGTGATTGGCTGGTTAAAGTGAAGGGGGGGGTGTTGTTTCTTGAGTTGACCGCTAGAGGGAGTTAGATACATTATAACAGCAGCAGAGGTAACCAGCGGTCGGCTCGGGTGAGGATCCCATATTAAGACAATGGAGATGGAAAGACCATATTAAGACCGCGCTGAGACGCTGACTTCTCGGTGAAGAACTGATCTGTGTTGCAACTTTGTTTGCTGAAGATAAAGAGTTCCAGGCAAAGGGGACATTAAAGTACACAGTGACACAGCGAGTTCAGAAATAACACAAATGTAACCTGAGGAGAAAACACAAATATGTAACTTAAATCATGATAACTTTATTTATATATCACCTTTTAAAAACACAGGTTTACAAAGTGCTTTGACAAACAGCAAGAATTAAAACAAACTAAACCAAACACAGAAGAACATAAACAACAACAAGAACATAACAAATACTAAATACTAAAAATAATTAAATACAATTCAACAGAAAAGAACCCAAAGTGCACAATACCCAACAGACATATAGAACCCGACCATTACAAGAACCATCACAAGAACCATCACAAGAACCATCATAAGAACCAACATAAGAACCATCACAAGAACCATCACAAGAACCATCAGAAGAACCATCATAAGAACCAACACAAGAACCATCACAAGAACCATCATAAGAACCATCACAAGAACCATCATAAGAACCATCACAAGAACCATCATAAGAACCATCACAAGAACCATCACAAGAACCATCATAAGAACCATCACAAGAACCATCACAAGAACCATCACAAGAACCATCAGAAGAACCATCATAAGAACCAACACAAGAACCATCACAAGAACCATCATAAGAACCATCACAAGAACCATCATAAGAACCATCACAAGAACCATCATAAGAACCATCACAAGAACCATCACAAGAACCATCACAAGAACCATCAGAAGAACCATCATAAGAACCAACACAAGAACCATCATAAGAACCAACACAAGAACCATCACAAGAACCATCATAAGAACCATCACAAGAACCATAATAAGAATCATCATAAGAACCATCACAAGAACCATCATAAGAACCATCACAAGAACCATCACAAGAACCATCATAAGAACCATCATAAGAACCATCACAAGAACCATCACAAGAACCATCATAAGAACCATCACAAGAACCATCACAAGAACCATCATAAGAACCATCACAAGAACCATCACAAGAACCATCACAAGAACCATCACAAGAACCATCACAAGAACCATCAGAAGAACCATCATAAGAACCAACACAAGAACCATCACAAGAACCATCATAAGAACCATCACAAGAACCATCATAAGAACCATCACAAGAACCATCATAAGAAACATCACAAGAACCATCACAAGAACCATCATAAGAATCATCACAAGAACCATCATAAGAACCATCATAAGAACCATCACAAGAACCATCATAAGAACCATCATAAGAACCATCACAAGAACCATCATAAGAACCATCATAAGAACCATCATAAGAACCATCACAAGAACCATCACAAGAACCATCACAAGAACCATCACAAGAACCATCACAAGAACCATCATAAGAACCATCACAAGAACCATCATAAGAACCATCACAAGAACCATCATAAGAACCATCACAAGAACCATCATAAGAACCATCACAAGAACCATCATAAGAACCATCATAAGAACCATCATAAGAACCATCACAAGAACCCAGGAAACACATAGAGCCAGTTTTATTTTACTCTGTTTTTCTGTGATAGCGAGTATATTTAAGGATTTTTTTCTTAATTAAGAACCAGACTTAGATATCATTCACAACTATATAATAACCTCAGGTGCAATAAGAGATGTAGAAAGTAGAGAGAAGAAAACATATTTATATTTTCATTTCATTGTACAGTGTTCCCCTTTCTTATTTTTTATTTGTATTATAGCTTTGCTTTAATACAGTGTATAACTTCTGTTAAGTTTATTTTAATTTACTTAGCTGCTACTACAACTTATTATTTTTTTATTTTATTTGTACTTTTCTACTCTTTTTTTTCTTCATAATGTTATTCTATTTTATATATAATTTTAACTTTTTTTGTAGAAGCTGACTCAGTGAGAAACGCACAAAAATCCCAATGTACCTGTACTGTCCTGTACCTGTGCAAATGGCAATAAACATCTATTCTATTCTACTGACAGTGGAAACGTAAATTAAAGTGCACCTAACTGAACTGAAGCGGATAGTTAAGTGGAAACAGGGCTTTACTCATTTTTTTATCTTGGGGTAACAACGCTGATTTTCATGTGATAAAAAGTGAATTCCTCAAAATCTTGAGAAAATGAATTAATTTTAAAAAGACTATCACAGGAAAACCAGCACTGTCACCCTGAGGTTACAGTATCAACAAATCAAGAAAACAACTGAAACGTACTCATCAACACCAGAAATACGGAGTCAAATTAAAATGTAGTGATGCATGTCCAATCAGGGCTTCCGTATAAAAGAGCTAATCAGATCATTTAAAAAAAATAATAGATCAATCACATTCAGGTAGAATGAGGAAAGGCTTGGTGTGTTGTTTTTTTTAATACATAACCCACTCAACTGACCTCATTACAAAAAATATATATATTTTGATTCCCAGGCCGAAGTTTCAAACATTTTCAGTGTAAAATAATCAACTCAGCTCTACGTTTACTACTTTAAATAATAAATAAATTATCTAGTAATTTGATATAATGATCTAAATCACTCTGGAATAATCCACTCTGCCTGATGGGAACTTTAAGATCTCAGCACTTTCAGTTCGTTTGATGCATCTTATACTTCAGGTGACCTTTCATGCTTCAACGCAGTACTTCTTATTTCACTTCGATATAACCTGTGACTTCTTCTTCCATCTCTGAGAAACACGATCATCACTGAGACTGAAGAGACTCTCGAGCTGAGGATTGATGATGTTGATGTTATACTCGAGTTTGGATGGAAGTCAAGGCCGGTCAAAAGGTTAGGGAAGGAAAAGTGGGCTGCGGTTTTCTGATGGTGTAATAACATGTTTTTTTTTTGTTTTCTGGGAATGATCAGGCTGTCAACACACACAGAGTCCTTTTGGTCTGATGCCATGACACTACGAGTAATACCAGTGAGGTAACTCTGAGGCTCATTCACAGCCTGTGTTTACTCTCATGGTAAAAAAAACAACCAATCAGCAGTGATTGTTCATAAGAGGCCTGCAGGTCAAATAGACTTTATGACACAATCATTTCCAGTATTCCCAGTAAAGATGTTTGTCATGTCTTTAAGACAAACTTGAGTTGTGCTTCAGAAGAGAAACCTTTAAGTAGGAGATTCTTTTCTGCAAATTACGGTGGCCCTGATGGTCAACTGTATGAATATTTAAAGGGACATATTATCCCCCTTCTCCACCTTTTCAAACAGTCCCCTCCTCCACCTTTTCAAACAGTCCTCCTCCACCTTTTCAAACAGTCCCCCTCCTCCACCTTTTCAAACAGTCCTCCTCCACCTTTTCAAACAGTCCCCTCCTCCACCTTTTCAAACAGTCCCCTCCTCCACCTTTTCAAACAGTCCTCCTCCACCTTTTCAAACAGTCCCCTCCTCCACCTTTTCAAACAGTCCCCTCCTCCACCTTTTCAAACAGTCCTCCTCCTCCACCTTTTCATTTTTTATTACCAGAATCCCACTGTGACATCACAAGGAGAGCACATTTGAAACAGAGCATTTTTCTTTGTGTTGTAAGACTTATGCAGACCACAAACAAAGAACTGGAAAAACACTGTAGAAGTGGATTTTTCAGAATATGTCCACAAGGTTAGACATGTTATCTTTATACAGCTTCAGTGTCTCCTGTCTGAGCAGATACATAACCCTTAATTGCTTCACATCTCAGTTTGACTTTGACAGCTGTTCTCGTTCCCTATTTGCTTGTTATGTCACCTCCTCTGCTTCTTATCTGTGTGTCACAGCGCTCTGATACTTTGGTCTCTCTGCTCCGACTGTCTGTGGAAAACGCTGAGTGATGGGACTTTGTAATCTCTCAGATAGTTTTGAACACCACAGCCAGCAGTTTTATATCCTTTATTCATGAATGAGAGACGAGACAGAGAGAGTTCAAAAGAGGAGAGATTTAAATCTGTGAGACTTTTAGTTTTAAAAGGATTTAATTCAGTTGTTGTTTCTGCTCAGTGCTCAGTGCTCACACAGACGGAAATAATGATGACTTGTTTCTGCACACAAGTAGGACAAAGATAAAATTCTGCTTTGAGATAAGATTCATATTTAGTGCTGTGTCAGCCGGCCAGGGGTGCGTCCACACTCTGTCGACTGGGGGGACCGACCCGACCACACTGACTTACACAGGGGGGGCATTTGAATACCACTTTTTCCTGTTTGGGGTCGCAGGGTCGCTGGAGCTGATCCCAGTTTAAGAGACGGGGTTACACCCTTAACCAGCCAATCACAGAGCTGACACATAGAGACAGACAACCAGACACACTCACATTCACACCTACGGGCAATTTTAGAGTCACAAAATGAGGAGCATGTCTTTGGACTGTCGGGGGAAGCCGGAGTACCCGAAGGCTCCTTTCTGAACCTTCTGTGAGTCAACCATGCAGCTCATGTGAATGAATTAAATCGTGCTGTGATTGAGAGATTCTCAGCTGAGATGTCTGAATGACTCCATGATGTGGAAGGTCCCGTTAATGATCAGACACGGAAATAAAAAATGAATTCATCATATCTACTTTTACATAACACAAGAGTTGGCAACATGTACGTACTCTGAGGTTGAAGACACACCTCTTTACAGCTGCCTTTAAGATTTTAAACTTCTACTCTGCTCTGTAATTATTATTTTTTTTAAACTCTTTTAAATTTCTTTACTTTTATTTAAATTAATTTCATTTGAATTATTTTTATTTGAACATATTTTCAGATTTAAAAATGTCAGTGATTTTCTATTTTAATGTTTCTCTTCTTTCCTCTGTCATGATGCTTTCTGATCTCTAGTGTGAAGAACTTTGAATTGCTTTGTTGTTGAAATGTGCTACATAAATAAACTTGTCTTGCCTCTGGGCTTCTTCACACTCAGAAAAGTTGCAGGTCTAAAAAAATAAATGCATGCAAACTCCAGCTTACTGTCTAACTTTGCAAAAACACATTAACCAGCTCTGGACTCGTCCCTGCAGCACGGTCGGTCGTGCAGTTTGTTGTCCGACTACAACATCTCAGGTCGGTCGCTTTAACTTTCCTAACATGTTACTCTACTCAACGGTTCAATCATTTACACATAAATAAAACAAGGTTTCACAGATTTAATGGACATGTGGGAAAGCCGAGCAGTGGGAGACATCTTTACATGATAATACTGAGAACAAAAAATCATTAAGGCAGATAGATGAACTACATTTATACTACAGCACATATCAACCATTACAAAAATATAAATACATCAGTGTTATTAGGAAGACAACGGTCTATGAAACTGGGCCATGACAGACCTGCAGGGGTTAAAGTGCAATACAAAGGTCGGAGCTGGAAGTGGGACGAGTAATGATTTCTTCACAGCAGCCCCTCTGACATCTCAGACAACGAGAGAGAGAGAAACGCCTGTACTCCCACCGAGGAATCACAAAGACGACCTCAGTGAACGTCTGAGTCCGACTTCTAGTGTCCTTCTAACCTTCTCGTGCTGAACAGCACATGATGATGAACGCATGCAGCACGCCTGTCGTGTTAGGAACTAATGTCTCCACAGTTAAAGTACAAGTTCACTGAATAAGATAAGATTCTCAAAAAAATGCTGCATGCTGGGATACCTTTTGAAGAAGACAAGGCTGGCGAGGTGTGATTGAAGATTGAACAGCCAATCAGGATGCAGCAGCAGCAGGTTTTTGAGCAGCTTTTTTTGCAGCCAGAAGAGTGAGAATATGGTTGATAGCAGAGACTCAGAAAGTGATTTTTAGTTTGTGGGATGAAAACGATTTAAAAAGCCATTGTTTACTTGAAAATACAAAGCTGCCTGACATCCAGCCGAAGCTTCCTCAATGATCCACCTTTCCCCTCATCGTTTCATTTTCAGCAACAGTTTTAGACCGCTGTGTGGTCACCTTGTCGGGGGTCTCGTTGGATTGCAGGGACTCCACTCCATCGGGAGGCGGAGTTCAAGAATCGCTCTGAAGCTCGAGACAAACGTCTTCTTCCTGAACTTCAGACAAACCTCGCTGAGCAGCTTCAATGGATCCACTTCAACGACTCGTTGTGTGCGTGTTAGTCATTTTAGAAATGTGTTAGCTTCTTTTTGTTCGTCAGTCATCTCCTCCTCGTGCAGGAAAATCATTTAAGTCACAGGAGCAAAACTTTAGCTCCTCCCTCCCGCTCACATTTCTGTCTTCACTCGTCACATTCTGTTTCTTCCAACACGTCCTAAATCCACTCTCTTCTTCACGACTTCAGTCCCATTTGAGCCATCATCTGCTCGTACACCGTCCACGCCATGGCGGCCATCATGGTCCTCCTCAGCGCCCGAGGAACCGCCCCTCTGAAGAAGCCCTGCAGCTTGTGTTCCTGATGAGGAGAGAGGAGACGTGAGAAGAGGAAGAGTGCTCACACTCAGCCATCGAGTGACATGCTGAAAGCAGAATGAATAAAGAGAGAGAGAGAGAGATAATCACCATGTAGATGATTCTTATCGCCTCGGCCGTCCTCAGCTGAGGATTCACTTGAACTTGTGTTTTCACAACGTCAGCCGGCTGCGTGATCAGAGACGCCAAAATACCCGCCATGACCCCACAGCCGAAGTTCGCCAACGGGGCCGAAGACGACGAGCTGATTTCTGAAAAAGAAGAAAGAAATATTTCCTTTTTTACTTGAAGTATTTTAAAGACAAACTGTTGTGTCTTGTTTCCCTCCATGTTCTTTCTTAACAAACTCCTCGAGTCGCCGCCTCAGATTCTCTTTGGTTAAAACTCCTAACCGAGTGAAAATAGAGTCATTTAAATATTTCTCACTTTGCTCGTTATCAAAGCGTTCAGAAAAGGTAAAGGGGTAATAATGGATTTGAAGTGTCTAAAAATGTAACTTCTGGTTGGCGTTTTTTGTTTGGGATTTTGAAAATTTCAAAAAAAAAATCAGAGAATCGAAAAAGACCAAGTACTGATTTCACAAGCTGGTTATTTTTCTACCTTTGGGCAGTGATGCCTTGGTCTGGCTGTAGAACATGACGTAGATCCCAGAGAAAGGAACGTCTCGGAGCAGAGTGGCCATCAGACCGGAGAAGAGCGCAGCGGGACCTTCAGTCCGACACACGCTGCGCAGAGCGCCCGTCACACTCTGATAACTGTACCTGCCACACTGAGACACAACAACACGTTTAAAACCTCACTCAAGGTGAACCTTAAAATCATACATCACCTCCTCTCTCGTCTCATGTGCTTACTTCAAATCGTGTCTTGATGACGGTGACCGGCAGCATGAAGACGCCTGCCACGGTGCGGGCGCCGCCTCCCAGCAGCACGGCGTCCAGGGCCCCCGGGCGGCCCTCCTGGAAGAAGTGCTGCTTCAGAGAGTAGTAGGTGCTGAAGTAGATCCCCACGCCTGGGATGGTCCGAACGAACGACTGAGAGGAGCAGACGGATGAAGAGCAGAGTCAGAGAAGAGGAAAACTTTTCACAGAGAACAGACGGATAAATAAATAAAGAAACGTTTCTAACCGGTGAGATTCCTTTCCACAGTCCCAGCAGCTTCTCTGTTCGCACCACGCTCCGCAGCATGGTCACCATCCCCACTCTGCTCGAGCTGAGAGAGGAAACATTCAGGTGAGCCGACACACGACAGTGATCGATTTAATGTAGAGCTGCATGTGACGTCATGTGTTTCACTTCATTCAGTTCATGGGGTCAAACCTTCTCATGTGGTCAATACTATACGTTACTGACCCCCCCGGGGGGAAATGTGTGGTCACAGCGTACGCAGTTGTGACGCGGATACATACGTATATGGTGTGAAAAAAGAGAGGCACGCGTAACAGTAACACATAAAAGTCGATGTGGCAGTTTGTTGAGCGGGATCGGAGCTCGTCATGCCCGATCTGAATCTCCACACTCACAGACCTGCAGAGAGACTCTTAAGAGCCGACCTACTGATTAATGATCAAGTGCTTCAAGGCTCTGGTGCACTTTTGTGTTCCTCCATGAGTCAAAATATCTGAAGACTTTATTTTTTTAGGAAGACTTGCAGAGAGTTCATGGTGAACCAGCTTCCTCGAGTGGACTGATGTCGATTGATTTATTGATTGATAAATTGCGGTGAAGCATCAGAGTCAGATGCTGTGACGACAGTTTTGCTCTTATTTCAAAGCTCCTTTTGGACGTATTCACAGCGTATCAATATTGTGAGCAGAAACGAAGCTGCTTCATTACGTGCTTTAACTAGTCAATGACATTAACGTCATCATCCCTCCCTACTCGCCAGAGGTGTCAAAAGTATTGACATTCATTACTCATTAAAAGTGTAAAAGTACTGGTTTCAAAAGTACATAAAAGTATAAAAGTAAAAGTAATGTAAGGGGAAAAAAATGCCATTAAGGACAAAGGCCGCGCCACAGGGGCCTATAATGCACTACAGGGGCCTATAATGCACTACCCCACCTCCCCAAAAAAATTTTTTTTCTAAAGGCCATAATGACTATAATGTTATATTAAAATGTTAATAAATTGGGTGGGTGTCGGAATGGTCTATGTTTATACTTCTCATCCAATCCAATCAAATTCACTCTATCCGGATGGTGCGATTTATCTGGATAGGTTTTTTTTTTGTGCTTTTATAAACGATGACGAGCCGGAATGAAAACAAACCGACATGAAATAGGAGTAACGAGGCGATTTTTAAAATGTAAGAAGTAGAAAGTAAAAAGTTGGCTGAAAAATAATTACTCCAGTAAAGTACAGATACCCAAAATTTCTACTTGAGTAAGGTAACAAAGTATTTGTAAGTATTTGTTACTTGACACCTCTGCTACTCGCTCTGATGTGCGTTCCCACATCACCCTGACTCCTTGCAGAAAGTTCACTAGGGGGGCCTGCAGGACTTTTTTTCCAGGTGAAGTTGGGGATGTAATATTCAGCAGTTAACCTGAGCATCTTTGGTACATTTTCAGGAGTGCATGTATTCTAAAGACTATAATTTGTGTGTAGACTCACCCGGGCTTCATATTGCTGTGTAGCGTCTGCAGGCGGGTCTTGACGAGGTCCAGGGGCTGGAAAAGCAGCGTGGAGCAGGTCCCACTGAGGGAGCCACACATGAAGGCTTTGATCGCTGGGTGAGCCTGAAGGAGTTTAAAAAAAATTGTTGAATAAATCAGCTGTCATGTAACAACATGTAAAGATCAAACCGCCTCCATACCCTCCTGTACATGTCGTGTCAGACAGGATAGTAAAACGGGTCAGCGGTGTGTCAGACTGCTGTAATCTCTGCTGCACGATGCCCCGACCTCCAGTTTGATCCTTCTGGTTGTTAAGTTATCGCCAGAAAACAAAAGTAATCAGCGTGAAGACTCACCAGAGATAGCTCCATTGTTCTGCAGGACGATGACTTCACGACTTTACGACACAGAAACCCGCTCTCCTCGTCTTTTCCTCTGCTGCGGTCCAAACTCAAACTCGCTGCAAGCCTGGAAAGAGAGAAAATGAGACGAGACCAATTCAAGTACGTCCTCTACATAACGACTACGCACAGGCGCACACAGCCTGTTAACACACACAGATCAGCTGACACACACAGCTCTTCATTAAGTTAAGAAACATCAGCGTGCTACATATTAGGAGGGAAGCAGGTCACTCTGCTGCACGAGTTTCATGTGAGAATAAACACGATGACCTGATTGATTTAATGAAGTGTGTCATGTGTGTGTCGATATAATGTGCCCAGCCCAAATCAGGCTCACAAGACACCATTATTATTCACCAGAGACATCTTAAAAAAGGAGCCATCAAAGACCGTCAGTCATCTGTAAACTTTAAGGACTTCATGTTGCCCTCATGTCGGCTCCTGTTGCTCTATCAGAGCATGATCCAGCCCATCCTACTGTACTGTTCCACATGTTATCTGTTAAAAACAGAGGCAAGCTCACACACATCACTGCTACATCTGCATGTATAATATGTCTCCCTCACAGCCAACCTATCAGAACTCAACAACAGGGACATCACAGGTGTTGCAACCTCGATAGAACATGACATCACACATCCACTGAACACCTCCACCTCAGAGGGGGAACGTCATATTGTTGTTGGATGTGTTTGTTCTCTACTGTGTGTTTCGAGTATTTACTCTTCTGTGGTGTTTGTTTGTCTGTTGGATGAATACGGTGCAGTAAAAAGGAGTTTCTCCATTGGGACCATGAAGTCTAATTCTGAAAAAAACGATCAGAAACCAAAGAAGAAACAATGACTACTGATAAAATGTTCAAGTAATAATAAACCCCACGGATGCCCGCTTCAAGCTCAAGAAACAAAAAGTGAAAACTTCTAAGCGTTAAAGATCCCTTCTGGCCTAGGAGTGCATTGGGATCCCCCAGGAGGAGCTGGAAAACGATGCTGGGGAGAGGGGGTGTCTGGGGCGACTTGCTCAGCCTGCTGTCACCAGAGAAGTGGAAGAAAATGAGTGGATGGATGAAATGTGTTTCTAAGTAATCACCTCCAAATTCACAGAAATCTGTGACCTCCTCTGTGATTTTCAGGGTCCTGTTCACAACTGTGCAACCAGAGACTTCTGTCACAGTCTGCCACACAACACATGTTTCAGTTCCATAAATGAGCTTTTGGTTTAAATGAGAAAATCAATCAACTACTTTGTCTCTTTTACGTAACCTCTTGTCTCGATGTGATCACACCTCCTCTAAAAGTCCACTCCGCTCTGTGGCACATGGACAATTATGCAACTTATTACGAAACCTTCTTATTAACCATATTTAATATATTTATTAAATTGATATGGATGCATTAAAGAAGATACAATGGATTTATGTAGCTAAGAACAGATCCAGCACAGGAGGTCTAAATATTTTATATTTCTCTGTGTGTATGTTTAATAGTTTTAGTGTACTTTTCTTTGGTTTTAATTACAAAACTATGATTGGACACATATTCAGCCTCAAAAAGCAGAGATATGTGAAATTAAATAAAATGTGAAAGAAGCTTCACACACAGTAAAATACATAATCTTTTTTTAACACCAATAGAAAGTAAAAATACATTTTTTATATAAGAAACTTGTTAAAACAGACAGAAACAGTCAAAATATTAAGCATGCTGTGTTTTCTTGCTCACTAAAGTGTAATTATTAATGTCTGAATTGAGCTACTGACACGTAAAAGTACAAAATTATCTTTTTAAATAAAAAAATAAAAACGCTTAAAAAAGTCTGAGTAAAGCATCTTACCTTGCTCAGATCTGTGGCCGTCGGTTAGCTGACTGCATATTTGTGTTGAACGTTGCGGTAGGAGGTTTTTGTCTCCTCCGGAGTCGTCTGCTTTTTCTCTCAAACCGCGTCCAGAATGAGCAGAAGAATCTTCTGACCGACTGTTACAACTACAGCGACGACTCACCTGAGTTTGACCCGCCGCAGGTACTCTGTACGGTCACATTAAACTCTTGTGAAACTGTCCGGTCAGTGAAACCGGCCGGTTCCTGTTCCTGTTCGACGACGCATGCGTGTCGTAGCTGCTAATAACGGCCCCGCCCATTTAGGCGCTACTGACTTCTGATTGGTTAAACGGCTTCCGTTGTTGTGGATATTAAATGAGCTCCAACTGCTTACAACAGTTAGCGTTTTTAAAGTTCAGAAACTTCTTTACACCTCATTAAATCTCTATATTGTTATATATAAAACGTGTTAATAAAATATTACACTATACAGTCAGAGTGACATGGAAGTTTTTAAATAAACTATTGCTCTGAAAATTAGTATTATTCCACTTAAAAAAAAATATATATATATATATATATATAAATACCAAAATCTTAAACAGCATCTTACGAGGTAAAGACCAAATCAATTCTTAAGTTTTCAGTGGTGCAGAAACTCTTATTTAAATACATCTTTGTAATCAACAACGTTGTAAAAATGTTTAATATTTGAATAATTGAAGAAACACTCATTACAATGCAGAAAGTCTTATTCTAGGTTCTTTTTAAAGCAGATGTGAATATTGACATACAAGGAAAGCAGATGTGCCTATTGACAATATTATTCCCTTAGTAACACAGGAAAAGAATATTAAGAAATAAATACTTACTTTCAATGAATGATTCTTGTCGAAGGCAGAATTTGTATCCGTATTTTGAATCACACATGTAGTTCTAGTAACAGAAACATGATGTACAAAGTGGACTTACTTCAAGTCATTATCAAAAGTATTAAAGTTCTGGTTGATAATAAAAGAACGACGTAACACCAAAACACCATGAAAGGAGTTCTCACCCAAAGATCTCCATCCTTGTTTACTATCTTTAACTCTCTGGTGAACCATTGGGAAACCGGTTCTGACTTGCTGGAGTTCTGGTTGTCCGTGTCTGCCCCCTGCTGGTGAAAATACGTCATTCCATAAACAACAACTTAAGCATCAGTACAACAACCGGTGCACATCTAGTCGACATGAAAAGACAGGAACAATAAAACACGAGCAGTCCCATGTAGCAGTTTAGAAAGCCTCTTTATTTGCAATAACACCAACATTTCACAACATGAGATCCATTCCAGAGGTTCAGACAGACAAACATTGTAGAAGAGTTGGGAGTTGCATTTTTTTTAAAGATTTCCTTTTTCCGTTTCTTAAGTGCGAAAGGTTTAATTTTGCGAGCTGTTATTCTTAACAACACGTTCCTCTCACTTCCCAGCAGTGTGAGCCCCCCCTCCCCTCCCCTCCCCAGAGCACAGCCTGCGAGGGGTTAACATCATCCTCACACACTTGATTTTAAAAACCCTTTCTCTGCTCCACTACCTTTTTTTTTTTCCATGATCGGCCCCTTAACAAGCGGTGCTCTGAGAATACAGTGTGTGCCAGGTAATAAACAACCCCACCACCGTTTTAACGCCACCTTCTACATTAACAAAACAAAAAAAACACCGATAGTGAAGAACATAAAAAATTAAAACGAATGCACGTCCAGATGAGAAGCCAACGACAGCACGGAAGATTTCAGACGCATTTAAGGCCTTAGTGTGTGTTGGCACTCTGAGCTCCTTCGTCGTCGTTCCAATGAAGCGCACAAAGGCAGTGGTTTATATGTCGAGGCTTAAGCTTCTTTTTTTCCCATCTCAGTGCAAAAATGAAGAAATTTCCGCACATTCACAATCAAATAAATGCCTTCAATACGCCTCAGAGTCTCCAATTTGTTCCCTGAATTCTGCCTCGGGATTTAGCTTCTGCATGAAATGTGTGCATCACATTGTTAAGCCCAAAAAGCAAAAGTCAGAGTACTAACTGCAGCTAAATCGATAGGATACATGTCAGCGTTTTTAACCGTCATTATAAACTGAGGCGAGAGCGCAAGCGTAATAAACACGGAGAAGAAGAAGCACTTCCATTTTTAACCATTATATATATAAAAAAAAAAAGTCTGCATAAAATACAATTCTATAGATCGAGATATTACTTTGGTCCCCGTCCGGTAATCGCCCTTCCTGTACGTAGAACTTCACTCTTTGTTTTTCTTTCTTCAATTAGAAAAATAGATCCCACATCAGGACTACTCATAATTGGAATGTTTCCTTATAAAAATATCTTTTTCTTTCTTTGTTTTTTTGTCCCAGAGAATGAAAAAATGAAGCAAAACAAAAAACAATTTGGCCCAAAAATAAATGCGTTTGTCAGCATGGTGATTGTCCGAGTTAACTGGCTTGCTTGTGCGCGTGTGTGTGTGTGTGTGTGTGTGTGTGTGTGTGTGTGTGTGTGTGTGTGTGTGTGTATGCATAGATTGTCGTGTTGTATCGATCAGACTGTCACAGGACTAAAAACCTCTTTAGTTTTAACACCATCCTTATCTGTGCTGTCAGTAGGTACAGTAATGTGAGCTCGTGTGATTCGGGTCTGTCTGTATGTGATGCACTTCCTTCTATTTTTTTGTTTTGTTTTCTTCTTTAAGAGTCGAGCGCCGCTGTGGCTCTTCATTCAGGTTTTGGCTCAGAGGTCTCGCTCTTCGGCTCGCTCTTCGGCTCACTCTCCTCGTCGCTTTCTGGGCCGGGGCGAGTGATAGCGCGGCGGATGGGGAAGGGGAGGTCACCACGTCTGGAAACAGAGAGAAATAAAAATTAAAGCTACTGCACAGCCAGAAGGATGTAAGACACACGAGTAGCTTTTAAGGAAGTAATGATACAGTCAGTGGGTTTTTGATGACAGCAGTCCAATTAATAAAGAAAAGGCAGAATTCTAACCTTTGTCAAATAATCATTTAAAGGTCACATATCCTCCTCCTCTTCAGTGTAAATAAGTCTCAGAGCTCCTCTAAACATGTGTGTGAAGTTTCTTGTTTTAAATCCACTCTGATCCTGTATTTGATCATGTCTATAAACCCCTCTATTTCAGCCCTGCTCAGAACAGGCTGTTTCTGTGTCTGTACCTTTAAATATGTAAATGAGCTGTGTCTGACCACGCCCCCTCACTGGAAGGGCTTGGGTGTACTCTGGCTTTCTCGCTCCATGTCCTATTGTTTACAGTGAGAAGGCAGTGTGTAGGAAACATGAAGGCTGCTGGGACTTCAGGGTCCCTTTTCCCCACCTGAGCTTGCTCTTCAGGGAGCTCACTTCTCGGTTCATGGCGTCCGAGGACTCGATGGCGTCCTCCAGCTCTCTCTGCAGTTTCCTTCGGTTGGCGTTGGCTCTCTGAGCCTCCTCCTCAGACTCCTCCAGCTGACGCTTCAGCTGCTTCATGCGAGAGTTCAACTTGTCCACCTGGAATTAAAAATACATAAAAATAAGAACTACAGAAAAAAAAAAAATGAAGACTACATTTACCTTCACAATACATGACATGATGTAGACGAGCTGGTTTATGCCTCAGAGTGCATCCTTGCCACGATCTAACTTTACACTTAATTGTTTAAGTATATTAAATAAACAGCACACTTGTCAGGTATATTAACCCTCATGCATCACTATGGACATTTTTGTCCATTTGATCAAATGTTTCCTCTTCCTCGTCTGTTCCTGCATATGGCACCATTTTTTTTAGAAAGTCTCTCTTGACACATTGTGGAACGCACATTTTAATTTTTTTAACAAATCAATAGAACACTGAAACATGTTTACTACCCTCTTAAGTCACTAAGGACAAAAATGTCCACTTACAACAAACTGCTATAAAAATAGAATAGTGATGTTTTTTTTCTACTTTTTTCTGCATAAATCTCTTAAACACCTCCAGCCCTGCTCAAAACTATTAAATATTGAATAATTATCAGGAATTTAACCCTTAAAATGCCAGAATCATGTAATCAAACTGGCATTTAAAGGGTTAAATTCCTGATAATTATTCAATATTTAATATTTTTGAGCAGGGCTGGAGGTGTTTAAGAGATTTATTTATATCAGTTTTTTGGCATGGACATTTTTGTCCTTAGTGACTTAAGAGGGAAGTAAATTAAACTGATGCCTGAGGGTTAAAACTGCTGAGAGGAGTCTGTCTCTACAGTGCTGATGAAAACCTCGTACCTGGTCCTTGTGCTGCTCCGTGCTGCGTCTCTCGTCGTCCACCTGCAGGATGACTTCCTTCAGCTTCTTCTCAGAGCGTCTCACCATCTTGGTGGCAGCCTGCCGCTCCCTGAGCCGAGAGCACAACAGAAGGTCAGACTCATGATGCACAGTATATATTCTTATTCATGGTGTTTTACTGACTGATTCTTTTAAGCAGACTTGAGATTTGTTCTCTTTTACATAAGGGTTTTATTTAAGGGTTTTGTGTGATGTAAAGCAAACGTGGATCCTTTTGATATATAAACGTGCAATCTTTAACTCACCTGGTCTCCATGTCCAGTTGTTCCTCCAGCTGAATGATCTTGGCCTCCAGGGTGGCCATGTTGGCCTTGTACTTGGATTTGACGGTTCCCTCCAGCTCCTGCAGCTTCAGTTTCAGCTCCTTGTTCTGACGCTCGAGCTGAGAACGGGCTCCTTCCACACGCTGAGAGCTGCTGCGCTCTGCTGCCAGCTCCACATTCATCTGGTCAGACTGAACAAACAAATCATTTAGGAAGTCAGAGAGATAAGATTATCACTTTGACTCAGGTTTATTCATGCTGAAATGCCTCTAAATACTTGGAACTTCAAGATAAAACCTGTGAGGCTAAAACCTATAAAAGCTCCCAACAAACCTGCAGCATTGCTTTCTTCAGCCTGTCGTTGATCAGCTCTGTGTTGCACTGCTCCTCCTCAAGCTCCTCCTCCAGCTGAGCGATACGAGCCTCCAGCCGTCTCCTCTCCTCGATGACCAGAGCACTAAAAGAAAGATGCAGGACGGGAGAAAATATGAAAAAAAAAATACACCCTCAATACCAAATGATGTTTGCATTTCTCAGTTTTCTCTTCATTTTACTAAAGAGAAACGTCTTACCTCTTGGAGGTCCCGTTGTTAATCTCATCCTGTAGTTCGTCTCTCTCCTGCTGAGCCTGTCGCTTGGCTCG